GCCAACACACTGGGCCAGCGGCAGCTCTGTACTTGCCAGAGTTGCTGTAAGACCAGACACTCATCTGTGCCTAAGCTACACCTTCTACTAGGAGTTTTCCCTTTGGCTTCCCTCCTCCTGACTGGCATGCCACAGAGGGAGCTATAGATGCACGCCCTTGCTCTTAGCCACCTCTGAGCTGCACCTCAGCCTTCTGTCCCAAGCCCCATGCCACCAAGAGTTCTGGGGCCCCTTGGTTAGTGTCTTGCCAGAATACTCCATGGGTCAGCTAAGTCCTGCCCTATCCATTGTGAACACCTGGGGACCCCCATACACCTCACAGAAATGGAAAACTTTAGCTCCCTGTGAGATGGGTAGTGTTTTTTAAGCCACAAGGGAAGTTGCTTGTGTGGCCTGGACCTTTATTTTATTTTATTTTTTTATTTGGTTTTTTTGAGACAGGGTTTCTCTGTAGCTTTGGAGCCTGTCCTGGAACTAGCTCTTGTAGACCAGGCTGGCCTCGAGCTCTCAGACATCCACCTGTCTCTGCCTCCCAGTGCTGGGATTAAAGGTGTGCACCACCACTGCCTGGGCTGTGGCCTGGACCTTTAAAGGAGACAGGTAGGGTAGCAAGAACTCGGGCTTGAGAGTCATGGCCACCTAGCAGCTAGCTATGTAGATGTTCCTCTGCCTGGATCAAAACAAGAGCCCTTTTCCTCCTCCTCTTCCTCCTTGGCTTTTCTTTGACAGATGACAGGTGTCTAGGGTGCCGTACCTGATCTTAGAGAGCAGAGGGGTGCCGTTTCATCCATCTCTACCCATCATAGGCTTTACATCTCCTGTTTGGCTGTTCTAAGTTGGTTCCCTTGTGTGGTCGGAGGCCCTGGCACCAGTACTGTCTGTCTGGTACTACCCCAGGCAAGCCACTTCCCCCTTGGGCAGTGACATTGGTTGACTTTGCTCATGGCATCAAGACAGTTGGGAGCAGCTCCAGAGGCACCAAGAAAAGAACAGAACCCAAAGGTAAAGCTTCTCTTTGTTCCTGTCTTTTCATCGCCCAGCTTTTGCTGAGCTCCCTCCTCCAGGGCGTGTCTAGGAGCACTTGAATCCATCTGCACTGTTATCACCATGTGTACCAGGTCCAGGGTCCTTGGCTTTGTACCCCAGAGTCCCTGTCAGATGAGTATGGCAGTCTCACAGAAATGCTTGATAGCCAAGCCTCTGCTTCACCTATTTCTAATGCCCTTTCCAACCCGACACATCTGCAAGTGCTTATTCTCAGAACCCCAATAATTGAAACAGGAAGTTTTTAAAGAAACCTCTTGAGGATGTGTGCTCTTCCTGTTCTCTGCTTCCTGGGTTCTGGGCTGGCCCACACCTGCTGGATCCCCCACCCTATCAGATCCTAAGCCTCTTTTTTATTTGTGTGTGTGTGTGTGTGTGTGTGTGTGTGTGTGTAGGTCAAAGAAGAGCTTGATAGCAGTTGGTTCTCTTTTTTCACCATCTGGGTCTGGAGAGCAAACTCAAGTCTTTTTTTTTTTTAAAGATTTATTTATTTATTACGTATACAACATTCTGCCTCCGTGTATGCCCGCATGCTAGAAACAGGCACCAGATCTCATTACAGATGGTTGTGAGCCACTATGTGGTTGCTGGGAATTGAACTCAGGACCTCTGGAAGAGCAGTCAGTGCTCTTAACCTCTGAGCCATCCCTCCAGCTCTATTTCTTCGGGCTGCCCTAGAGCCTCCAAGTGGCCTTTCACAGCCTCAATCTCAGTTTCCTGCTCTCTGCTGTGTGTCAGCTTGACAGGGTAGCCACAGGGTTCTTTCTTCATACCGTGCTGAGACACTCAGGCTGGCTGGCAAGGTGCACATAGAATTGCTTTGTGAAGAGGCCGTGAAAAGTCTGCATTAATCGACAGGTGTTCAAGTCTGAGCCTGCCAGTCCTTTACTGACCGTGCTCAAGGTCCTACATGTGGATACTCAATGAATCACCCTTGCTCTCCCTGCTCTAGCTTGATGTACATTTTGAACAAAGAAAAATCAGATCGGTCCTGTTGAGGAGGAAAGCCTCTGAGCCAGATCTCCATATCTGCTCCCAACCCCAGACTAGCACCCTGGGGGCCACACGGACCCTCAGAGCTGGTGCAGATGGAACAGTGAGCAAATATTGGACATAGGAGTCTAACTTGCTTCTTGGGTTCATTGCTGAGTTACCCATTGGTAAGGGATTCCGAAGGAAAACTGGGAAGAAAAGTATGAAGGTCTATAGCCTGAAAGCTCACGTCAGGGGTGAGATGTGCCAGAGAATGGGGAAGAAAGGATGACTCCACTGTCTCTAGACTAGCGAGTTTTCCTCCCATCTCTGTTGAGGATTTTGTTCTCCAGTATGTTACCATGAAAGCATCAGGCATATCAAAGTTGAAAGGCTTTGCAGTACACACGTGTTGCCTGGGCCCTGCATTTTATTATATCTTCTTTGTCTACTCACAGTGCGTCTTACCCTTTGAATACTTTCTCAATAAAATGTGAATTCAGTTGTCTTCTGTCAGTGTTCCATTGCTGTGAAGCGACACCGTGACCACAACAACTCTTAAAAAGTAAAACATTTAATTGGGACTGTCTGACAGTTGAGGAGTTAGCCCATCATCATCATGGCAGGAAGCATGGCAGCACACAGGCGGACATGGTGCTGGAGAGGTAGCTGAGAGTTCTACATCTGGGTCAGCAGGAGCAAGAGACAGTGGGCCTGACCAGCGTTTGAAACCCCAAAGCCTACCCCTAATGGCACATTTCCTTCAACAAGGCCATAACTCCTAATCTCTGTCAGGGTACACCACTCCCTAATGACCAAATATTCAAATATATGCACCCGTGAGGGCCATTCCTATTCAAACTACCACAACAGCGCCCTTCTTTCTATCCGCCTGTCCTCCTTTTCTTTCTTTCTTTCTTTCTTTCTTTCTTTCTTTCTTTCTTTCTCTCTCTCTCTCTCTCTCTCTCTCTCTCTCTCTCTCTCTCTCTCTCTTTCTTTCTTTCTTTCTTTCTTTNCTCTCTCTCTCTCTCTCTCTCTCTCTCTCTCTCTCTCTCTCTTTCTTTCTTTCTTTCTTTCTTTCTTTCTTTCTTGTTTGTTGTTTGAGACAGGGTTTCACTGTGTAGCCCTAGCTGTCCTGGAACTCACTCCTTAGACTAGGCTGACCTTGAACTCAGAGATCCACCTGCCTCCAACTCCCAACTGCTAAGAGTAAAGTCTCCATCACCACACCCAGCTTCAGTGTACTTCTTTGTTGAGGATTTTAAGTATAAAAGTAATATGTGTTCAAGCATTCAAAGCAATATAAAAGAATATTAATGTACTTGGAATCCTACTTTGCTGTCACTTATTTTTCCAGATTTTTCTTTATCTGCACTAAGTTACATATGGTACCTAGTGCTTTGAGTGGATGGGATTAGCCACTTTAGGGTTTTCTTTTACTTCCCAAGTTTGAAGTATGAGGTGACAGTGTAGTGACAGACCATTGTCCATCTCCTTTCTAAGTTTATATTGCTCTTCCTGTTGTACCTGGCTTAGCTAAATGTTAAAAGAGAAAGTTATGACCATAAGTGGCCAGGAAACCAAGTGACTTCTCTCACAACTCCTATGGATAGGAATGTCAATATCAAATTTTAACTATTTATTTCTTTTCCCCGGGATTCTAAGTAGGGGACTTTGAACCTATGAATAATGGTTCCCCCTCCCCCTTGAAATAAGGTTTCTCTGTGTAGCCCTGGCTGTCCTCAAATTCACTCTGTAGACCAGACTGGCCACCAACACAAGAGATCTACCTGTCTCTGCTTCCCAAATGCTGGGATTAAGAGGCGTGCACCACCACTGCCCAGCCAAATAATTAATATTTTATGGTCCTTAATAGTTTTTTTTTTCCACCAAAATAATCAAGATACAAACAGCAGTGGAAAGAGAGGTCACCAGAACAAAGGACCCCAATCCTGCACCATTCTTGAGTTCCTGGACAATATCAAGACATGTGACTTCTCTGGGCTTCCTCCTTCACAAGATAAGGATAACACTGTGCCTTGTTTAGCTTGTAAGATCCTGCAACTCAAAGGAAAACATAGACACAGAATCTCATTATGTATCATGACTTCAGTTTGGGACTGGTGGCCTGTGTCGTGGGAAGTGATCTCAGCTCGTCTTCCTTAACAGCCATAGCCTGTTGTGGTTTGGGGGATTTCCAGGTGATTCCACGTCACTTCTTCATTACCAGATCTAACTATGGGTTTATTAAACTTTCTCCTTGGACAGTCTCTTTAGTCTCTTCTCTGTGTATACATTTTGCCCCACATCTATTCTGAACTCCATATCTAGACTAAAGTGAACTTGTAAGAGTCTCCATTGGTATGTCCCTGTGGAGATATTCAGTAAACACCTTGATTTGTCTCTCTAACCTTGCCTTTCCTGTGGCGTCTCTTACAGACACATGCATGCTATTGCCCTACCCTTATTAACACGTGCTGTTGCTGTGTGCTCAGAGTTGGCTCCAGAATGCGATCCCCGTCTCCACCTCTGCTGCCTCTTGGCTAAGCAAAGGAGACTGAGGTTCCACAGCACAGCACGAATCTGCCTTTGGGACTTGGTTTCACCCCTGCCTGTGACTCCCTGAATCTCTTTGTAACCTGTCTTAGCAGACTTCCCTGAAGTTCCCAGGTGTCTGACACTGTTTCCTTTGCCTGAAATCTAATCCCTCCTACCCCAGACCATGCCTTTGGCTCACACCACCATGACTTCTCCAAAGCTGTCCTTGAACATCTGAGTAAGCGCTTTTCCTCCCTACTCCTACTGCCTGGATTTCTGGTCAGAAGGCTCTTACAGTTACTACAAATTTCTCCTATTGCTGTGTCCCCTGCACAGGAAGCTTAGTGGTTTAATTCATGCAAGTAGTTCCTGGACCTGTGTTTGATCTGTGCCACCCACCTGCTGGTGACTAACCCTGTTGGTCTCCCTGTCTGTCTGTCTTGCAGATGACGTGCTGACTAAAGATGCGGGTGAGTGTGTGATCTGCCTGGAGGAGCTGCTTCAGGGAGACACGATAGCCAGGCTGCCTTGCCTGTGCATCTATCACAAAAGGTACAAGGGCCTGGCGAGAACAACTCTGACAAATCCCACATCCAAGGAGTAGATGGCCTTCACCAGCCATCCAGTCCTCTCTGGTTATGGGATGATCTTTGCTCTCTGAAAGGGGTCAGGCATCTGCTGTAGTGAGGGAGGGCTCAGTAATTGCAAAGGCAGGGCAGAGATGAATTGCTCAGGGCTCAGCTCTGCTTCAGCAGTTCAGATGGTAGGAGCTGTGGGCAGACCTGGCTTGGAGGTATACAGGATCCCACCTGGAGCTTGGCTCCCTTCCCTCTGAACCCTCCCTGTAGAGAGAGGTAGCAAGGGTAGAGCAGCTGTCCTTGCTGGCCTGTGCGGCACCCTCCTCCTGCAAGGGCCAAGAGGCAGGAAAAGGCACTACCTGTAAGTCCTGAGCTCTGCTGTAGTTAGCCAGGCCAGAGTTTGTCCTCTGCCTTCAGCAGCTGCCTTAGTTGCTAGTTTTTCCCTAACTGGAAAAGAGACCCCTCCTTGCCCAGGACAGGAGCACACCCTGTGTTCCTGTGGCCACCACCTGCTCTCTGCTCCTCCAGCCCACACTGGCACTGGGGCTTTTCTCAGCCCAGCTCAGGACTACTGGTCTTCAGTTTCACAGCTGTGCCTGGTGTGTGATTGGCCTGTGAGAGAACTGTGGTTCTTGATGCGGTTTCCACCACAGACCCTGCAGCATCCAGAGAGGCACTAACCAGAGCCAGGAAAGAAAACCCTTGACCCTAAGCAAATTACCTGTTTGGTTACTCTCTTTGAAAATGCTGAAATGTGGGTTTGCAAAACAGGACAGTGTCTTGGAGCACTTGTTTCTTCTTTGATGCAGACAGCCCTCTATAAACACTGGGAACTGAGGCCTTACTTACACCCCTTCCCAGGCTCACTTAGCGATGTCAGAGAGCCCAAGGGTCTAGCTTCCCTTCCTGCTGTTGTAGCCAAGCTCCTGAGAGAGGTGCCCTCACTTATCACTGGCCAGCCTCTCATTTGGTCCCACTTTCTGCCCCACCTTTGAGCCAGTTAACCTGCTGCTCTATGTAGTCCACCTGCGTTCACCTTCTTAGTGTTAACTGTTGCTATCCTGGGCTTCTTGTACTTTTACTTTGGGCCTCAGAAGGCCACTCTTGCCCTTTCTGCAAAACGAGATGGACCAGAGCCTGTACCTATTCTGCTGAGCCAGGAGCATTCTTTTTTTCCCCAAAGATTTATTTGATTTATCGAGACAGGGTCTCACTGTGTAGTTTCAGCTATCCTGGAGCTTACTATGTACAATAGACTGTCCTTGAACTAACAGAGATCGCCTGCTTTTGCCTCCCAGATGCTAGGATTAAAATTGTGCACCACCACCACCCCCAGATTATTTTATTATTTGATATACATGGATATTTTGCTTGCATGTATTTATATGATGTATGTGCCTGGTGCCCACTGAAACCAGAAGAGAATATTGAATCCCTATTAGCTGGAGTTAAAGATGTTTGTGAGCCGCTATGTGAATGTTAGGAACCAAACCTGGCTCTTTTGAAAGAGCAACAAGGTCTCTTACCCACTGAGCCATTTCCTCAACCTCCAGGATCGTGTGTGTGTGTGTGTGTGTGTGTGTTAGCTTTAAATTGTGCATTTGTCTGTGCATCTATGTGTATGTGCATCTGAGTGCAGGGGCCTACCAAGGCCAGAGGGATCAGATCCACTGGGGCTGCATTTATGGGGCGAGTGTGAACCAGAAGACATGGATGCTGTGGTCTGAACTTGGGTTGTCTAGCAGAGCAGCATGCACTCTCAGCTACTGGCCCATCTCTCAAGCTCCCCTCTGCCCCTGCGTCCTCAGACCATTCCTGATAGTCTTCCCTTCCCTGCTTCCGGGAGGTGGCGGGGGGGGGGGGCATAATCATTTCTCCCTGGGGTCCCTTCTGGAAAGATTCTAAAGCCCTTCCTGAGAGTCCAGCCCCTTGATAGCCCCTTTGCAGGAGCAATGTTGTCAGCAGCTGATGTGTCTCCCCTTTACCCGTTCCAGCTGCATAGACTCCTGGTTTGAAGTCAACAGATCTTGTCCAGAGCACCCTGCTGACTGACCCTGCTGGGCTGGCTTGCTGACTCCTCTCAAAGGTGAGCCCATACTTGGTGGGGGCTCTGGGCTTACAGAGTCAAGTTTCTGGGCGCTGGGGAGAGGGGCCAGGCTGCCTGATACACACCCCTCCAAGAAGAACGCAGTGAGCAGTTCCCAGGATGTGGAGGGATTGATTTTCCTGGGGAAACACAAGAAAGGGACCGTAGCCCGCTCATGAAGAACTCAGTGCAAAGGTAGACTCCACTCCTTTCCCTGAGGAAAGGCAGAGGATCCCCTGCAGAGCGCATGGGCTGAAGCAAGGGAGCCCAGTTGGGCTCTGCATCTGCCTCCTCCTTGCTCACCTCTCGGAAGCTCCCGAGGCTCTGTTTCTTTAGAAATGGGAGAATCCCTAAACAGAGGCTGTGGAACGTCCACTGTCCACTGCCCAGTGCTTGTCTGAGATCTTTTCACTGCTGTTCTTCCACCTGAGGGCTCTGGCCACACTCAGCCCTCCCGTCCACTGCACAGTGTCACAGTAGCAGCAGCCAGCACAACAGCTCCTCCCACACATGCGCATGTGTCTCCAGGGCACCTGTTCACCTGCTGACCCCTCTCCAGTCCCCCACCTGTGCTTTCCGAGGTCTATGCTGGCAGATTGTCTCTTTCTCTTTCTCCCCCCACCCTTGGCAATCAGAACATCAGTCCCAGAAAAACCAATAGCCCATTTCTACTTCATCTCACATCCAAAGATTTGGGGGGATTGCCTTTCTTCTCTTTCTCTCCTTGTTCTGTTTTCTTTTGTTAGGTTTATTTTATTTATTCCAAGTAAATGCCCAGACCAGCTGACGGTGTCAGGCAAATCAGGGACATTTGCTCTTTTTACCTTCACCTCAAAATCTGATGACAAGGGGAGAAGACAAAGCAAGGGTGAGAGTGAGGCAGGGGACTGGACCCTGGCTTCAGAATGCAGGTCCAAATGGCCCGCATGATGTTTGGCTTCCGGGGCCTTCTTGGACTGAACCAGACGCCCCGGCTGACCAGCCTGCCCTCAGAGGGACACGCTGCTGCCACCGTGAGATGGAGCAGCAGCTCTCGGCCAGATGGAGCACGACTGACTTCTTCCGACCCACACAGGGACAGACAGCCCTGTTCCTGGGAGGAGGCTCCTCGGACACTACACAGAGCTGAGCTTGGGACACCAGAGGGAACAGGGCACCCCTTCTGCACTGACTTCCAGAAAATGGTCCTCCCTCCTCCCCGAGGACACCAACTGGATGAGAGCGAGTCTGAGAGAAGAATGAATTGACCTCTATCCTTCCCCTCACCATCAACCCAGGAGGGAAAGGGCGTTTTCTTTTTCACCTTTGAAAGGCGTTGTGGGTCTGTCTTTAAAGTGTTTACAACAACAAAAAATTATATAAAAAAAAAAGTCTAGTGTCGACTGGTGTTTTCCCTCGTGATGTTTACAGATTGCTGTTTGCTGCCCAGCTAAAACCCACTCAGTGCAGAACCAAGCATAGCCATGTCTTCACTGCTAGCACTCTGAGAGCGGGCGGGCACTCGGTCACTTCCTTCGCCCATCACCCCCCTTGACTCTCTGTCACTAACCTTTCTACTTTGGGGGATTTTTTTTGTTTTCTTGTTTTTCTATCCCATCTTTCTGGCTTCGTTTTGCACTTTTCTCCCCTTAGTACCCTGGTACCTTGATTTCCTTGCCGAAAAAAGAAAAGGAAGATGAAGAAGAGCCCATCAAGGACGCTTCCCCTTCCATTCCCAGTCTTTCCTGCCTTTCCTCCTGGATCTGGTCCAATCAGAGGATTTAACAATCACAAATACACTGAAAAAAAGCCTGGACATTTTTCTTAGGCCCTTGTGGTTTTGTTTTGTTTTCCCTTGAGAAAACATAAGACTTATTTAAAGGAACATGTACTGCTCCCTGTTTTCAGGCACACTGAGAACATTTTAGCCATTGATATTCACACGTGGCATCAGCCCATGCAGGATAGGTTTCTGTATTTATATATTAAAATACAAAAAAAAGTTATAAAATATTTTAAAAATGTTCAAAGCTCGGGAGAAAAGCTTTTCATCAGTCAAGGTGTTTTGATATGGTATTAAAATAATATCTATAAAAGATACACTGTGTGATCTTATTTTAATGAAGTGTTGTACACAGTCAAGGAGTAGAGGGCAGAGACCAGTTCCCTCTGTCCACCTCCCCAGCCCAGCACTCCCTTAGCACCTGGAGTGGCTCTTAGCCACACCTGGGCCGAGGCTGGGCGATGGAGGCTCAGGTATGGCTTTCAAGTTTATGAATTCTTAAGTAACTGTCAGTCTACTGTCATTGCTGATTGTGAGGGAATGTTTCTGGGAAGATAGTCAGGGGCAAAGATCTTGCAGTCATCAGGTGCTGCAAGGATGTGGGCACCTCCAGGTGCCAGCCCTGCCCACCCTTCACAGCCTCTGCTCCCCGTCTTGTATTCAGCTTGCCCGATGCTCCATCCACAGCTCAGTGCTGACTCATGGGCATGCTTCGCTGAGGCCCAGAAAGAGGCCTTGGTTTGGAGCTGTGCCAGCTCACAGTGTCTGAACCAGAACCAGCCACTCAGCTCATAAACGTTGGCAAATTGCAGGCTAGGCAGGAAACTCAGGGCAGGGGCGGCAGTGCAAACCTGCCCTGTCTCCTAGCCAGGTTCCAGGAGTTGCATTTCAGGGCCTCCTGCAGAGCCAGCTAAGAAAAGCTCTGGAGGGAGATGGCTGCTACATATCTGTGCCATGGCCATTTCCAGACCTGCTCCTTGTACTGCTGCTTCAGGGCCCAGTCCCAACAGGCCCTCAAGTTTGGACTATGCTACCATTCTTGCTCTGAGGTCACCTTGCCTCAGATGCCTCCTGAAGTACCTACTCTGTGCAGACATTTGTCGGCCAGTGGGCATGTGCGAGCCCAGGCAGGCAGGCAGGCAAGCAGGCTCAGAGAACTGAATGCTTTAGAGTCTGAGTGTTGAGACCTCGGGACCTGAGCTGTGAGCACTGTTAATACTAGAAACTGCATTGTCTATGCTGGGGCATTTTACTTCCTGTCAGAACGGTGAGGCAGTAACTTCATCTGAACTTGATCCTTGCATGTGAAGTGGGGACACGGTGATGCAGCTCGGAGTGAGGGTCAGGGATCTGCCCCAGAGGCCTGGCACATACACAGCAGGCTTCCTTGTAGCTTTGTCACTGCAAAGGGCACTGTTCTATCCCCAGCACCTCCAGCTTCTGCCTGGCAACTGCGTCTCCCTGTTCTATATATAATCCTACCAGCAGAACTGGCAGGGCAGGGCCCAGCCCTGAAAGCAATCTCCTTGCCTGACCCCTGGGCCTGGAGACAGGCTTCATGTGCCCACCTTGGCTATGTGAGCCCAGCTGCTTTGGCGGAGCTGTGGCTGAGTCCGGTGGTTGAGTTGGTTGGGGCAGCGCTGGGCCCCACTCCGGGTGCTATTCTAGGCTCTCTAGGCGGTGCTCATCTCATCCCCAGTGACTTCCGCCCCCACCCGGCACACCAAAGCCCTCTGTTGGCTGTCACATCCTCTGGATTTGGACCCAGATTGCCTGTGCCTGGTGTGAGGGTGGAATAGGCTTGTCTGGGCTTCCCAGGTGGCACTTGTATTTGTCACCTGCCATCCAGACCACTCTCTAGAACCCTCTGTTGCTCCTGCTCTGCCTTTCTGAGAGGGAGGAAAATATGGAAGAGCCAAAAGATGGGTTCTTCCCCTTTGCGCCAGGAGCCCAGAAGGCCTTCTGAGAGCTCCAGGAGCCCCTTTTGGAAACCGCCCATTTAATAGCCATTTAATAGTATTGAAGCTCATAGGAGAATGTCCTTCTTAGGAGATAGATGCTGAATTATATAGTTGAGTGATTTCAAGCAATGTATAATCTAACTCCAAATGGTTCCCCCCAAAAATACACAAAGCAAATAAGGCAAAAATGTCCATTGTTGAATCTTCAACGCCTGATATTTCAGTGAATAGTGTACTTGTTCTTTCAACTTTTCTGTATGTTTGGAATTTTCTTTAATAAAAGAAATTGTGGGGAAATGACTGTTTATTGAGTGTCTACTAGTCGCTTGTTGGGGCGGGGGAAGAAGCCCTGCCCAGCTGAACTCAATTCGGGAGGGCTTGTAGGAGGGGCACACAATCTGTCTGGGTTAGGGTTCACCAGAGCCCTCTCGTTCCCTGGTGATTGAGCAACTGATGTTTGGGTTTCTACATCCTGAAGTGGTTTAGGAGAGAACCATGAGACAGACATCACAGAAAAGGAGTCCTTGGAACTGAAGTTGGACTGAAAAAGTAACAGGGTGGCGGCCTCTTCTGGGAGCATGGTGGGAGAAAAGTGGTTAGAGCGAGGGGGTTGAGAGGCTGTTACTTCCCCTGTCCGTGGCTCCTTCCTGTTTTGTTTTTCCAACCCAAAAACCTAGGAGTAGGGGAAATGGTACTACAGTTGACTGGGACCCACAGGGGTAAAAGGTCTTGAGACTGGCCACTTGACCCTGGAAGGTAGGAACTACAAGACGCTATTTTTCAGATTTGTGGTGCCACGCGCCCTCTTGTGGACTTCTGAGGACCAACTCCCACGTACCTCCAGACAGGCGCTCTGATCTGGGAATCTCAAAACTGCCAGGCCCCCAAGTAGGCAATATGCTGACTTTGAAGGTAAAAGCTGGTGGGTGGTGCATTATAATGGTATAACGGTATAATGCCATGGAGACAGGTGGTACACAGAGGATTAGCTCACCCCCATTTCTAACAGCCTATGTGGCAGCAGCTTGGAGAGAGTGTTCCAGTCTAAACCTAGTGGGGAAGCTGTCAGAAGTGACCTCCTCCACAGGTGGGTCTTCTGCCTCCGGTATGCAAATGCAGGAGGGTTGGGACAGGCTTTCTTCCAAAGCCTGAACTTGAGCCACTTCCCCAGGCTGCTGTCAGTCTAAGAGGACGCCCCCGAAACAAATGGCTCGTTAGTCCAAGGTCAAAGACCAAGGGGTACAGGATACAGCTGCAAATAGGGTTCACATTCATGGGCATTGGCGGACAAGAAGAAGGCCTAACTGTGGAATGAAGGCTCCTTCCCTATGTAGAGGCGTGGTCCTGCCCTATGTATAGGATGAGCTGTGATGATGCTGGACACCAGTGGAAGAGGCCTCCACAGAGGGATCTGATCTTACTCTGGGAGGAGACCCACACCATCTCTGCCAGCCAGGAAGAAACTCCGCTGGGAAACACCTGGGTTTTCTACTGGAGCAGAAGGCTAAGAACGGCAAGGAAAGTAGTTCTCTGTAAGTCCATCCTCTTGACCTTCACCTTGAGAGCCAGCTACACAGACACCTGGCAGGCACAGATAGCATCAGTCATTCTGTCTTATAAAGCCAGTGGCATGAAGGGAAGGTCGCGAACAGGGGCTCTGCATTCTGGGGATTGTAGGCCAGCAGTTTCAAGTTCCTCACAGCACTTTGCCTGGGTTCATGAGACCTCTGGGATCCAGTGCATCTTTGAGCTGCCGCATAGTTGCCATGCCCACCGTGCCCACTTCCTCTTGCAGCAGCTGTCTCTTGCCCAGCCCGATGCCATGCTCTCCTGTGCATGTCCCATGGAGTGCCAGGGCGCGCCTAGGAGACCAGTTGGAGTCCTCAGCAGCCCCCTCTCCACTGCCTCTGCCCTCCCCAACACCCACCCCTCCCTGACTCAGCCCTTACCTGGCCAGATTTTCTGCAAAGGCCTTGACCCTGCTCTGTTCCTCCACATCATCTGGGTTGGCCAGTATGATGCAGTGAAAATTGCCGTCACCCACGTGCCCAACGATGGCTCCTGGGGACCCAGAGAACAAAGCTGTCACCTCTAACCTTGCCCAGGCACCAGCCAACCCCAGTGCCTCCCAACAGGAAGTTCGTAGAACAGAACCTGTGAGTTTTGAGGCTTTAAGCTCCTCCTTGGCCTCTACCAGGATCTCTGGTAACCGGGAGATGGGCACACACACATCCGTAGAATAGGCCTGAATCAGAAGGCAAGCTCATGTGGTTCTCCCTGTTGCCCACTGCCTACCTAGAGGTAAGGGGCCACTGTGACTCAGGCTTAGGACCAGGGGATCTTGATGCCACTGAATGAAACATCTGTCCTCCAGCCCACTCTAGCCTTGGTGTGTTTATGAGCTCAGGTCTCCACTGCTCCCCTGGACCACATGCAGGTTCCCAGCACCCCACACTACCCTCCTAGTCCTCATGACCACCCCGCTAGCCCTTGGGGAGCCTCAGCCTTCTCTGCTGGGTAATGGGTTGAGGAAAGGGCTAATGAGCTGAACTACCGATCCCACCTCCACCCTGGCCCCCAGCTCACCTTCCGTCCAGGAGACAGGGCCAAGACTGCATACCAAGCATTGTGCCGTGCCGCCCAAAGCTCGCTGCGCTTTTCGGCCTCCTTGGCCCAGGAGAAGTGAGAGCCCCCGTTATCCTGAGTGATTGCCTCTGTAGTAGAACAGAAAGGCTGGCCCTTAGTCCCGCACTAGAACAGCCCAGGCCCCACTGTGCTACCCTCCCCAGCGCACCTGTGCGTTGCACCTGTTCTGCTAATGCCTGCTGGGAGCCATGGAACTCCAGGAAAAGGGTGGGTGCCACAGGGCAGTTCAGTTTGCTGTGTCTGTTGCAGGCATCCATCATGACGTCATCCAGGAATTCTGGAACCAGGGAGAGGGCTACTTCGGTGAGGCCTGGGCTTCTGTGAGGGCCTTTTCTATAGAACCCACCCCAACTGACTCAGTTTCTTGCTCACCAATGCGAGCCACAGGCACTGCAGACTGAAGGATCTGAACGGTGCTGTCCACAGCGGCTTGAACACTGGGGAATGCACAGGTGGCTGCCACGGTGGCCTCGGGTGCAGGATGCAGGCGCAGGGTGGCAGAAGTAATGATGCCCAGAGTCCCCTCTGAGCCCACAAAGAGTCCTGTGAGATTGTAGCCAGCCGAGCTCTTCCTGGACCCAGGGACACATAAAGTAGGTGAGTGATTTCTGTCTAGAAGCCTAAAGCTAGGAGACAGGCTTGGACTGATCTCCTACAGCCTCAGTTACCATCATAGTGCTTGTGATTTAGTGACCTGGCTTGGCCTTGCACAGGGAGAGTCAGTGTCACTGGCCCTCCTGAGTATCCCTCACCTATAATGGCGGCCCCGGCCTGCAGTGTGAAGCAGCCTGCCATCAGGCAGGACCACCTCCAGGTTGATCACGTTGTGTCGCATGGTTCCATAGCGCACAGCGTTGGTGCCTGAGGCCCCGGTGGCTGCCATGCCACACAGAGAAGCATCTGCACCTGGGTCTAAAGGATAGAGTGCTGGAGAGGGCAACTTAGGAAGCTCTTTCCCTGTGGGAAAGATGGGGTCCTCTGAAATCCCCCAAACAGCCCCCCCAAGCCCTCAGGACCCTGAGGAACTGGTTAGTCCTGGGCCTACCAACAGGAAACCAAAGGCCGCTGTCCCGCAGGTGGGTATTGAGAGCTTTTCGGGTGACACCAGGCTCCACCACCACAGAGAAATCTTCTGTATTCAGCTCCGTGATTCGGTTCATATGGGTCAGGTTCATGCACACTCCACCCTGGTGGCAGGGAAGACAGGAAGGCTGCCCAACTCGGTCTCTAGGCCAGGATCAGCCCCCCTAGGACCCCATTCTGTGGCTGAGGCCCCACATGCCAGAGCTCTAATTGACAGGTGGAGCACCCCATTATACCTGTATAGCACAGACTCCCCCCTCAACACCGGTGCCAGTGCCAAACGGGATGATGGGAACACCTTGGTTGTAGCACAGGGTTGCCAGGCGGCTGACTTGGTCCACATTCTGAGGCCACACCACAACATCGGGCGGTTGGCACCTAGAAGCAGGCAGGCCTCAGAAGTTTCAAAAGGCGTTCCAGCCCCTCGCCCTCTCATTTCCATTAACCTGGAGTTTCCCAAGGACCTGAGGACGGGGCCTCAGCGGATCGGAACAGAGAACACCTCTCTAAAGAGAACGCCCGCACATTCCAAACAGGTGGCAAGAGACCAGGACAGCCCAGGACCCTCAGTCCCAGCAGCAGCTTCTGATACCTATGCATCGACTCGTCACGCCCGTGATGCTCTCTGACGGCAGAAGCAGTGGACACGTGGGGGCTCCCTACCACTGCCTTCAGAGCTTCCACAAAGTCCTGACTGAGTCCACCCTGCCAGGAAGAAGCAGTGAGTGCGAGGGTCATAGGGAAGATAATAGAAGCTGCAGCCCTACCCCGTGGCAGGAGGGGAGAACAGGAGCAGGTCAGATTGCAAGAGATGACGTCACAGAGTCTCGAGCACTTCACACCAGGCTCCCCACCCTCCAAGACCCTATCCACACATAGACATATACCTGTGACCCCCTGGAGCAGTAGCCCCTCCAGGGACACAGCCTCTGGGTTGCCACCCGAAGGAACATGGTCATAACCAAACCGCAGCTAAGGCGAGAGTAGTAGGAAGGGGAGGAGGCAGTGCCAACCAGCCGCTAGCTGGGCCCAATGGCCACACTGGGTGGAGCCTGCTTAAGGTGGAGCTAGCTTAAGGTGGCCCCCGCAGATCTGGAACCAAGGACAGCAGCCACTTTCCTGCCTTAAAAGTCGGCTGCTTCCTGTAGCGCTTAGCACAAACTCCCCGTGGGCGTAGAGGCTTTAGAAGTTCCACTGACTCCTCAGACTCTCCCGTCTACACTTCCAACCTCCTCTTTGACCTCTAGGTTCTAGTTTCCCTTTTCTTTCGGAGCTCGGGCCGGCTCATGACCTTGGCTCCCACACTGGA